TGTTAAAAGACTTCAACTCCCACAACACCCTGCACATCATAGAGAGCAAGGAGTTCCCCTCCTAAATATTTGCATATGACAGACGCATCTGGTCAACCCCTCACTGACTGGGATGTATTAATCATAGAGAGCCTAAGACAGGACCACCTTTTTGGCTTTAATTTGAGGATTAAACATAATTTTATTTTTTCTAAGACACAGTCGAGGATAGTTGGATGAACATGTACCTTGTTTCTTTTGGTAGGTGCAGCTGTTCTCAGTTTATTTCTGTCTTCTTTGAGGCTGATCCCTGAACCGTATTTCTGTTTGTTGTGATTAGACGAGCCGAGTGCGGCATCAGACAGAAAATGGGATCAGACATCAGAACGAAGCAGAGGAGCAGGAGGAAGAGCTGGATGCAGTGTCCAAGGACCTCAGCATCCTACTTAGAGAGCAAGAGAGCTTTCGCCGTTTGAGGAAGTACGTACAGCTTCAGCAGTCTGACACACAAACATTTGTACTAGTGACCTGATATCCAGAGGAAGTTTAACCAAAATGGTTTAGTTGTACAGTGTCTCTGAATCTTCTCACTGGAGCACGAAACAAATGCTCCAGTGAGCTATAACATGAACCAATTCATGTTATAGCAATGATTAGGCAAAATGAATAATGCAATTAATGATGATGAGTGCCATTTCTCCTATTCCTATAATGTAAAAGCTGCAGTGGAAGAATATGCAGTTAAATCAAAAAAAATTTAATTTGGTAAATCTGCCAAAAAAAACCTTTTTACTACAAAAGTCTTCTACTGTAATCTTTGCGTTGCAGAAGTCTCTTTAATGGGTGGCAACAAGTTTTTACACATTTCTTTGTAAAGCAATAAAAGGAGAACTAACAATGAGAGGGTGCTATTCAAAACAAACAAATGAAAATAACCACAAGTACCTGTTGGGAGCTAATGTTCATAGATTAAGATGTTTTAGTTAATTTTATTTATTTATTTTACAATTTAATGGACTTAACCAGCGGTGTCAAACTCCAGTCCTCGAGGGCCAGCAGTCAAGTTCTATAGTCTTGCTAATGACCTACTAATTTTATTCAGGTGTGTTACAGCAGGGATACATGGAAAAGTTTCACTACACCGGCCCTCAAGGACTGGAGTTTGACACCTGTGGACTAAATGAACTAAATGCATCTCCAAGTAGCACCTGTTTTGGTAGAGATTAGTATGTCAAATGCCTGATAAACTACCAGTGTGTATGGTTACCAGCACAAGACTGAGAAAGGTGGCGTAGCAGAAGGCTGTTCACCCAGAATCAAGGGTGCCCTGAATAACTGCTGCACCTTTAAACAGGTGGTGTGATTGATGCAGGTCAACTGGAATGGGGACTGGGTACCAGAGGAATCACACAGTGTTGGCAGTCAGGGGAAGAGAA